AATAATAATAATAATAATAATAATAATAATAATAATAATAATAATAATCTGTTTCTATGTTTTTATGTTTCTACATCCTCACTAGACTGCTCATTCATTTTATTCAGTTTCAGTTTTGCATGTACTAACTCTAAAATCCATTCCATTCTTGTTGTTGTTTTGCATTTTTAAACAGTTTGTTAAAAAGGGAGAACAAACCTGGAAGAGTTTTGGTAAAGGTACAGAAAGAAACTAGTCTCAACATGTTTCTGTAAGGCAGCATTCTTAAATGGGGTACAGTGGGGTGCAGGGGGAGAGAAGAAAGGAAAAGCAAAATGACAGGGATGGAAGAACTGTGTAGCCTCAGATACTGGTTCAAAGAACACAGAGGTCCCAACACTACTAAGTCCCACTTTAACTTAGTGGGGAAATGACTGACATCCTTCTTCTATAATAAACTGATGTAATATATTGTTCCTGAAGCTTTATGAAGGCAACAGTAAAAAATATGCTAGTACTCAAATCATGTTCATGAAGGAAACTCCCTCCTTAGTGCAATGGTCTGGAGAGAAAAAGCCTAAAGCACCCTGGAGCAGAATGAATAAATTTATTTGTTTATTTCCTTACTATACTGTGCCTATAGCCCTGTTAGCTAGATGTATTTTGGTGATAGCTGATTTGTATTCATTCTGAATTGTTCGATGGGTAGCCATGACAGATTTAGTACCATTTCAAAATGCTTCTATTGCAAGGTTTTTTGTTTGTTTTCCACATGGCACAAAGCAAAGCAAAATCAATCTAGTTGAAAAGTACACAAATATGCAACATATGCTATATAAATATAATCAGTATGCTGAAGTGTAAATGCACCTGTTAATGTCTGATCCACCAAACTGGTTGCCATGAATGTCACAGCTGGTGAAGAGATAGCTGCTACCCTGGTGACTTGAGCTGGCATCAGAGAAGTCATGCAAGTCTCCATTTTAGAAGCAGCACCTGCATACAAACCATAATGAATACATGACTGTTTTCACTATGTGCAAGTACAAAGGTGTCAGAAGCAAACACATTTCAAAAACAGTTTGGTAGTATTGGATGCTATCACTCTATTCAATAGTACTTGGCAATTATTTTAGAATGCAATATCCAAACACTCCACCTAAATATTTGCATGAATTCATTTTGCTAAAGCCCTTTTGACTTTTACTCCCACCTTATTCTAGCAAGTGAATTCACTGGGTGGGGAACTAAAATGTGATAAACAGAAATAGATATTTAACAACATAAGTACATGAATAGGATTTGCCAAATTGTAGGCAAAGAGGTCAGTGGCAAGGTATTGATGGAGAACAGTTTCAGGAGTGCGCAGGTGAAGGAATAAGAAATTATCTTCTCTAGTTCAGAATTTCAACTCAGCTCATAAATTTTTAGCACCAACTCTTTCATATCACTTTTCCTTCTTGCTCAGTTATCAAAATTGTGAGGAAAAATGCAACCAAGGATGAGACTGTCATGTCATAATGTTATGTCTGAACTAAATGTAACATTAAGTCATGATTGTTTGATTTTGCCATTAGCAGCTTTCCTCCCAGGATTAAAAACAGCCATGAGGGAGGGCAGGACTAGGACTAAAATAGCAGGAAAGGATTAAGTTCTGGTCACTTCCCCAGAAAAAGATATTGTAGGAAAACTGCAGAAAAGAGCAACCCAAATGGTTTGGAACAATTCTCCTGTGAGGAAGGTTACAAGACAAAATATGGGAGAGTCAGATAAAATTACATGCGGTTGAAAGTGGATAGGGAGTAGCTTTTCTCCCCCCACCCCCATAATACTAGAACCCAGGGTCATCCCCTGAAGGATAAAAAGGAGTACTTTTTCATATAGCCCACAGCTGAACCAGGCAGGACCAGCCCTCACCCAAATTTTCCTATTGGCAATGCTGAAGTAAAATTCATCTGCCAGTATAATCCTCCCCTACTTGGCATGGAGGAGAAGTACCTTTCATTATTCTCTCCAAACTGACTCAGGCTGAGGTTGGTCAGGACCAGAGGTGAATATGGGGTGGGACAGTTGGCAATACTGTCCAGCATGCAGAAACACTGAATGCTTGCATGCTTTTTCTTTCTTTCTTTTGACTACATATGAGGTAAATGACATCTGAATAGAACAGAAATGAACTAAAATTAATAAAAATATAAATAAGAAAGGAGAGGGAGAGAATTGAATACACTCTCTATAAACCTTCTCAAACTGCTAGAAAATTGTTTTCTGCACTCAGTTCCTCTGCATGACTTGAGCACTGAGTGGTCAGGGTTCCTTTTTTTCTGTTTTTGTTTTTACACAGCTGGCACCAACCGCCCAGTATTTATTGCTGCTTCCATTTTGCAAGTTTTAAACCTGCCACTATAATGCATTGTCTCCTATATTATCAATTACTTTTTCACAGAACAACATTGGAATTCAAACTGTGAACCAGTACTGTATCTAGATGCCTATGAACTGAAAGAGGATTTTTTTAAAAGACAGCCATATATAATTTTAACATTAGTTTATTCCTTTTTACAACTTCATATTTTAAATCAGTAGAAGTGCAGTGGGGGGAGATATGTACAAAAGCAATAATATTCAAGGAGCTAAATTTGCTGATATAGAGAGAACTGTCGAATAACTTGAGTGAAACCTCTATGAACCAAAGAGTAAATTCTTAAGAGATGGTAGGTACATTATATGAAATTTTATTTATTTATTTATTCATTTATTTATTAAAACATTTCTATGCTGCCCCTTGCCGAAGCCTCGGGGCGCCTCACAACATCAAATAAAATACACAATACATTAAAACAATAACAATTAAAATATATACAGTAGAATAAAATAAGCCGCCCTGGCCAAATAAAATTCAATACTATTAACATTTAAAATGCTGCTGAAATAAAAAGGTCTTCGCCTGGCACCGAAAAACAAATAACGACGGCGCCAGGCGGATCTCTCTGGGGAGTGCATTCCATAACTTAGGCGCCACCACTGAGAAAACCCTCCTCCAAGTAACCACCCTCCTAATTTCCTTCACTGAGGGCTCCTGGAGAAGGGCCTCTCCCGCTGATCTCAGGGGGCGGCTGGGCATATATGGACGTAAGCGCTCCTTCAGGTAACCAGGACCCAAGCCGTTTAGGGCTTTATAGGTCATCACCAACACCTTGAATTGGGCCCGGACTTCAATGGGAAGCCAGTGAAGCTGCCGGAGAACTGGAGTCATGTGAACATAACGTCTAGTTCCCGTCAGCAGCCTGGCAGCTCTATTTTGAACCAATTGAAGTATCCGGACCGTCTTCAAGGGTAGCCCCACGTAGAGTGCGTTACAGAAGTCAAGTTTAACAAGTTGATCCCATGGTTCTTTGATGCCAGGACAAGATCTATGCTATACTGTGGAATCCTTTGTATATCATCCCAGTAGCAAAACAGAAGCAATAGTGTGCTAATACCAACAGCCTCTCCCAGAGTGATTGCAGCAAACTGTGCCACTATGGAACAATCATAGCCATGCACACCAATAATTTAGCCTGCAGAAATCTCCAGTCTTCTCAAGTGTATGGCTGATCTGCTCCATGCACAATCCACACACACACACAATGCATTATTACTCCATCAGCAAAAAGTTCTTCCCCACTACAAATTTCATTATATTTGAGTGGGAGCACAGTACATTAGTCTTCTCACAGACAGTTTATATATCCTGCCACTCCAAATACAAGCAGCAGCCACCTACGTGACACTATTTCAGCAGGAGAAGAACCAGAGCCATAGAGAAATAGTTAAGGATCACATACCAGTAGTGTGGATACGAGCGCAGGTAGCAGGTAGAAAGTACCCTCAATATGCTTGCCTGGCTTGGGATGAGAAAAGGAACTCACACTAGTTCTAAAGAATTTTTCCTTTGTCATTCGTTTGCTATATAATTTTGCATTTGAATAATTTATATACTCACATTCAATAAAATTTCCAGGAGGATTAATAAAATTAGGGGAGGTGGAAGATCCAACTTTAATATATCCAAAGTAAAAAATGCATGAAAAACAGTGAAATCCTAGGAGTAGCACAAAAACAGCCAAGACGCTTTTCTGAAAGGGGTGGGGTGGGGGCATGGTTTGCTGTCAAGGAATATGGCAGCATAAGAGATTTGCTCCTCTTTATCCCTTCTATTAATCAGCTATTTCAACGTGATTCTCAGTGAGCAGAAAAAGAATAATCATGAAAGAGTATTATTAATGGAAGACCAAAGAAGATGGTAAGGGAGAATAAGCTGGATCCTTCCTCCTCAGAAGAAGATCAAAATGATCCTGCGGATGCCTTGTATGAGTCAGACAGTGAGGCAATGTCCAGTAAGGCAAAAGGGAAAAAGCAAAAAAAAGTGCTAAATCAGCTAATGAACTTAATGATGAAGCAGCTCCTGAACCAATTAAGATCTACAAAGTGATATGAAAACTATATTAGAAACCATTAAAAAGCCTTTAATGGAACTCAGGGACTCTATCAAACACACAGAAAAAAAAGCAAACAAATCCTTTGAACTTGCCCAGCATCAACAGAAAAAACAAAACAAAACAAAACAAAAAACAAAAAACAAGCTATTGGAAAAGGAGTTACTATTGTTAAAAGAACGAGTGACAGACCAGAAGAACCAGAATCAATGCCAGAACCTTTGTCTAAAAAAATTCAAATAGGGATTAAGGAGGGAAGACCTAACGAGGTCTTAGGTCATTAAGGAGTTTCTGAAAATGGTTTCAGAACCTCTGTCCAGAATTGGAGACCTGGAGAGAAACATAGAAACAGAGTGAGTCAGAAGGGGTCTCCCGGGCCATCTAGTCTGACCTCTGGCACCAGCCGGCTCCGCTCACGACATGCCCACCATGTGCACATCCAGCCTATCCTTGAACACCCCTTGAGAGAGTCTATAGAGTTGGACCCAGACAAGAAACAAGACAGAGAGACACCGTGGTAAGGTTTTCCCTATATACAGTGAGAAAAACTATGTATCATGCATTGCATAGTAAGCAGGAGCTGGTTTATGAAAAAGAAAGGATTGAAATATACCATGGTGTGGCTGCTGAGATACTACAGAGATGCAGAAAATGAAAGGCCTTCACAGCAAAGCTTTGGAACACTGGTGGGGCTTACCCTTTAAATTAATAATACGACATGAGCAGAAGCCAAGGACAGTAACAATTTTCAAGCAGCTATAAGAACTGTTTAAAGAAATTAAAATACTGGTCCCTGATACTGAGAAAAAAGGAACATGGCGAGATCAGAATATGCAGGGAGAAGGAATTCAGTTGTACTGGAAGACATCGGGAAGGGGAACAAATGGTTAAAAGGTAATGACTGGTCTAAACCCACCTAGAAACATTCAAGGATTCATTGAGGTGATGGTGGGATGCAAGTAATTCCCATGCTTGCTATCATCAAAACATAAAATAGCCTTCTGCATAAAGCAACCTGGTCACTAAACCAAAGATATCAATCAATTAATTATAATAACAGTACTTGCAAGATCTGTGAAAATTGTGTTAATGTATACTCATTAAATATCAGGCTTAGTTATTAGTTTAGAATATTCAAGTTTGTAAAACTTCTGAGGTTCAAGTAATAATCTCACTTGCTGAAGTGATAAATCACCTATAGGGATAGAATCCTATACTTATTTAACTTGGAGTGTACCATTGAGCCCAAGCAGGCTTACTTCTGAGTAGAGAATTGTGGATTGTGCCATGGATGGCATAAAAAGAGCAAGCAACTGTAGTTCCATTGTTCACCATCTGGCCCCCAAATATGGGAAAATGCATAGGGAGCCTACTAATGCTTGATCAGACCAATGTTATACCTAGACCTGTATCATCTACTCTGAATATCAGTACTTCTCCAGGGCCTCATTTGGAATTCTTCACGTCACTTCCCACCTAATACATTTACCTGGTGGTGCCATGGGGTTGAACCTGGGC